GCTCGATCACATGATGCGAGAGCGTGCTCGTGATGCCGTCAACGGGCTTGCTCGCCTTGCCTCGCGCGGAGCGCTTGTCGTTCACGACGACGGCGCGCATACCTATCTGCCCGTCGGCGAAATCCAGCAAGGCATGATCCTCATCCTCCCTGCGGGCGAACGCGTGCCGGTCGATGCTAAAGTGATCAAGGGAACATCGGACATCGATTGCGCCATCGTTACCGGAGAGAGCCGGCCGCAACCGGCCGTTGCAGGCGCAATGCTTTCAGCCGGAACGCTGAACCTGACGGGACCTCTGACCATTGTCGCCACCGCGGCTGCGAAGGACTCATTCCTCGCGGAAATGGTACGAATGATGGAAGCTGCCGAAGCAGGCCGCTCCGTGTATCGCCGTATCGCCGACCGCGCGTCGCGGCTCTACGCTCCCGTTGTGCATCTCACCGCTTTGCTGACACTGATCGGCTGGATGATCGCCACCGGCGATGCACACCGGGCGATAACCATCGCGATCGCAGTTCTGATCATTACGTGTCCATGCGCGCTTGGTCTTGCCGTTCCCATGGTACAGGTCGTTGCGGCTCGCCGGCTGTTCGAACACGGCATCATGATCAAGGACGGCGGTGCGCTGGAGCGCATGGCCGAGATCGACACCGTGGTTTTCGACAAGACCGGCACACTGACCCTCGATCGCATGAAACTCGCCAATGGCGAGTCCGTCGATCCAGCGACGCTTGCTATCGCAACGTCGATCGCATCACACTCCCGTCACCCCTATTCACGCGCCATCGCCGCGGCCGGTCGAGACAGCGGTGTTGCGCCATTGGCTGTGACCGGGATTTCCGAAATTCCGGGAGCTGGTCTTGAAGCCCGCATTGGTGAAACACAGTACCGGCTGGGCAGACCCGATTGGGCCCTGACTGATGGATCTGAGCACGACTCGTCCTCCGGTGTCGTATTGTCGGAAAACGGACGGCTGCGAGGCGCATTCCATTTCGATAGCGATCTGCGGCCGGACGCTTGCCAGAGCGTTGCGGAGATTTTGTCCCAGGGACACCGCGTCGAGATCATATCAGGAGATCGCGACGAACCTGTGCGCCACCTCGCCGCTACGCTCGACGTCGCCTATCTCGCCGGCGTTTCACCTGGTGGCAAGACGGATCACATAGCAGTGCTGACGGCTTCAGGACGGCGCGTGCTGATGATCGGCGACGGCCTCAATGACACACCAGCATTGGCAGCCGCCCACGCCTCCATGGCGCCGGCTTCCGCGGCCGACGTGAGCCGCAATACCGCCGATCTGGTGTTCCTGCACGAAAGCCTGACTGCGGTGCCTCTGGCAATCGGTGTTGCACGCCGCGCAGGACACTTGGTGCGTCAAAACCTCGCTCTCGCAATCGGCTATAATGTGATTGCCGTGCCGATTGCTATTCTCGGCCATGTCACGCCGCTGATTGCCGCCGTGGCGATGTCGGCTTCCTCACTGATTGTGATCGCCAACGCCCTGCGTCTGACGGGCTCGCGCCCTGACAAAAAGCTGCGCGCGGATAGTCCCGTCGCCAGCCACTTGTATGCGCTTCGGGTGGAGGAGGCGCGATGACTGATTTCTTCTACCTGATTCCGATCGCGCTCGCACTTGGAGCCGCAGCACTCGGAGCTTTCATGTGGTCGCTCAGAAGCGGGCAATATGATGATCTTGCCGGAGCGGCCGAACGTATTCTGTTTGACGAACAGAATGGCCCGGGAAAGGCCACCCCGCCTCCACGAATCGAACACGTGGACCGCGCCGGCAATTGACTGGACAATTCCCGTTCAATCACCTGCCGCACGATTTTGCTGGCGCCCCGTGATGTTCGAAAATAGTCGCCCGCGCTTCGTTCCAAGCGGACCCAAGCTAATCAGCTCGCTTTCAGCTTTGAAGCGACTACAGTTCTCGGACGTTTCACGGGGCGTGAGTGGTCGCGCGTGGCAACGCGCTTCACCTTCTTCACGTCGGCCCTTTTCACGTCGCCCTTCTTCACCTCTATTTTCTTTGTCCTCTTCACGTCCGATGCCGCCTGTTTGGTGCCGTGGCTGTGTCTTGCAAATTCCTCGCCATCGACCGGCGCGACATGCGGCGGGTCCCTGCCGAGATACGGGCGCCCGATGCCAAACCCCCTCCCGTTCGCATCAACCCACTTCCAGAGTTTGTCGGAGGAAGCCCATCGCTGATTGCGCGTCCCGCCGTCGACACTCACCACATCGGCCGCGAGCCCATGCCCATAACCGCCGCGCAAGCTGCCGCCATGATACGACCTGTTGCTCGCCGCCTTAAGACCGCTTGCGATCGACTGACGGTAGTCGTCACGGAATCCGCTGGTGATGCCGGGCGAAAGACCCGCGGCCTCCGCCGCGTGAAGCATATGAAACAATTTCAGCTTGAAGCTCCGGTCCATCCCGCCGATCACATAGTCCTGCATGGACATGCGGACTCGTTCCGCCGCCTTCGGGTCCTTCCATCCGAAATCCTGATCGACCAGCTTGGTGAACGTTCTGGTCACGGTCACCATCTTGCCTCTGCGCTTTAAGGTAACACTCCTCCGTTCGGGCATCTTAATGGTGTCTTCCTTGAGCGTCCTCTCATAGAGAGCCCACAGATATCGATCGACGCATATTTCCATCACCAGGCACTCGTCGACAATTTCTATGGAGTTCACAGCCTTGTTTGGTTCGCCGATTTGGACGTCCAACGGATCCACGCTCGCGAGTTGCACAGGCGCTGGTGGCGTTAGCGGCACATCCGGCGAATTGATCGAGGCAGCTTTGGCAACCAGGGTCTGCCTGTCCAAAGCGATGAGTGCTTCGGCAACTGCGTCTGCAAGTTCGCCCATCGCGGCATCGGTTTGCGCAAGATCGTCATTGAGCACTGAGCGTGGCTGTGATCTACCGGCGGGCTGGTATTCCGTGGAGTGAGAACTGATATCCTCGCGCGGAGCGGCGACGGCTGTTTGGGGTGCTTCTGACCCCGTCGCCAGCAGGCCGACAATCCCTGTCGCAAAAACGGCGGATCGCAACACAGGGGTTTGCATTGAAGGTCGCTGCAGGTTCATCATTCCAGCCTCATCGGAACCGGACTGCACAGCCAAACATGCGGACGCCCTTGATTGTTCGAGCAAGGTTATGGCCACGCAATGGCCTAACCGGGCGGGCCCTACCCTTTTCCCGGGAGTGTTGCCTGTAAGCAACGGCGTCGGATGGCAGGCCTGCGAGCGCTCGCCGTCCGTTTTGCGCCAACTTCAACGGCGAGCATGCTTGTTTCTCACGAGTCGGATATGTGAAGTTGGTCACGGCAGCAGACACGCGCTGCAACGGGGAATGGAATGGTGGATCGATTGACGTCGGCGAAATCCACTATGGCGATGCGTCGTTGGGGATCATCCGCCGTAGTGATGTTTGCAGCAATAGCCGCACTGATGCCCCCGACTGCCGACGCCGCAGCGAAACCGGCACGCCGCGCGCAACCTGCCGAGACCGCAGCGCCGCGCGAGGCAGGCGAGCCGATCATGGCAATCGTATCGATCAAGAGCCAGCAGGTTACGATCTATGACGCCGAGGGCTGGATCCTGCGCGCGCCTGTGTCGACGGGCGTCAAGGAGCGCGAAACGCCCGCTGGCGTCTTCGCCATCGTCCAGAAAAACAAAGACCACCGCTCGAATATGTACGACGATGCCTCGATGCCGAACATGCAGCGCATCACCTGGAACGGCCTCGCATTGCACGGCGGACCGCTGCCCGGCTATGCGGCCTCGCACGGCTGCGTGCGGATGCCTTTCGGTTTTGCTGAGAAGCTGTTCGACATGACCCGTATCGGAATGCGGGTGATCATTTCGCCGGACGATGCGGCCCCAGCCGACTTTTCTCATCCGTCGCTATCGCTATTCGTGCCGAACGCGGAGGTCATCGCGGCTGCTCCGGCAAAGTCCCAGACGCTTTCACGCGAGGCCGCGGACGCCGCCATGGCGGCCGAGGAGGCCAAGAAGACTGCCGCCACAGCCGCCCGAGAATCCGCTCTGCTCGCAACGTCTCTGCGCAAGCTCGAACGGCTCAAGGCGCGGGCCGACGCCGAGGTTGTGTCCGCCGATAAAGCCGTGGCCACCGCCAAGACCGATCAAGCCAGGGCGAAGGCCGAGGAGCGCCAACAGAAGGCTGCCGCCAAGGCAGCGGAACTGGCGGCCCGGTTCGACGCCGACAACGCGAACGCCTCATCGAAGCTCGATGCAGCCAGCGCCGCGAAGGAAGCCGCCAAGACGGCTCAGACAAAGAAAGCCGACACGGCGAAAGCGGCGCTGGATGCAAAGCTCGCTGTCGAGCCGGTCTCGATCTACATCAGCCGCGCGACGCGGACTCTTTATGTCCGGCGTAATACGCACAAGCCGGCGCCGGACGGCGGCGGCGAAGTGTTCGATGCGAGCATCGAAGTTCCAATCGCGATCCGCGATCCCGGCAAACCGCTCGGCACGCACGTGTTCACGGCAGTGGCGCGCAACGACGCAGGTCTGCGCTGGACGGCCGTCTCCATCGACAACAGCGATGGCGCAAAAAACGCACTCGACCGCATCACCATCCCGAAGGAAATTTTGGACCGCATTGCGCCGACCGCATTGCCGCGATCCTCGATCGTCATTTCAGACGAGCCACTGAGCGAAGAAACCAACTATCGAACCGAATTTGTCGTCGTGCTGAGCGACCAGCCTCAAGGCGGCTTCATCACGCGCAAGCCAAGCGAGGTTCTGATGGCGGACGACAACGGCTGGGGCAGCGGCCGGCAGGACGACGGCGGCTTCGACGCCTTCTTTCAGCGCAATCCGAATCCGCCACCGCGCCGGGGCGGCGGCCAGTTCTACGTTCCGATGCAACGAGGCTGGTGGTAAGACGCGGCCCGGCGCGCGTTAACCTGGCTGTCCGACGTTGCGCCGGGACCGAAGACATCTCTCAATGCGCTCTCAACCTATTGATATGGTTGGTGGGCCCGGCAGGACTCGAACCTGCAACCAGACCGTTATGAGCGGTCGGCTCTAACCATTGAGCTACAGGCCCCGCCGGCTCGTTCCGAGCAACGGTGCAACCTCCCATACAATGACCGCAGCAAGCGGGCAACCTCACGCCACCTCGCCCGCCAGCTCATCGATCGCATTGTACGCCTGATCCAGATCGCTCGCCGTGGTGCTATAGGGCGGCATCAGATAGACCGTGTTGCCGAGCGGCCGTATCAGCAGGCCGCGCGCGAGAAATCCGCGATAAAGCCGCGGGCCGATGTCGGCCAGATAGCCGGCATCTTTCGCCACGATGTCGAGCGCGGCGATGGTTCCGATCTGGCGGACGTCCGCGAAACGCCGGTCGCCGCGAAACCGCGCGAGCCGCTCTTTATGCATCGCCGCAAGCGAATTGATGCGGTCCATCACCGGCTCGCTCTGCCAGATTTCCAGATTGGCCAGCGCGGCCGCGCAAGCAATGGGGTTCGCGGTGTACGAGCTGGAATGGAAGAACGTCTTGCTGCGGTCAGTGGAATAATGTGCGTCGAAAATCCCGGCCCGGCACAGGGTCACCGCCAACGGCACCGATCCGCCGGTCAGTCCCTTCGAATAGCAAGCGATATCGGGCGCAATACCGGCCTGCTCGCATGCGAACAGCGTGCCGGTCCGCCCTCATCCGGTCATGACTTCGTCCGCGATGAACAGCACGTTGTGCACCTCGCACACGCGTTTCATCTCCGCCAGAACCGCCGGCGGATAGATCAGCATGCCGCCCGCACCAAGAATGAGCGGCTCGACAATCAATGCTGCGACGTCGCTGCGCTTGCAAGCCGCATCCAGCGCGTCGAACGTCGCCTGTTCGCGACCGGATACAGGGAACGGAATTCTTTCGACGTCAAACAGCAGCGGATCGTAGGGCGCGTTGAACACGCCGCGTTCCCCCACCGACATGCCGCCAATGGTGTCACCGTGATAGGCGCCTTCGAGCGCGAGGATGCGGCTGCGTTTGGCGCCGAGATGACGCCAGTAGCCCAATGCCATCTTGAGCGCCACTTCGACTGAGGTCGATCCGCTGTCGGAGAAGAAGACATATTCAAGCTCCGGCGGCGTGATCGCAACCAGATGCCGGGCGAGTTTCTCCGCCGGCTCGTGTGTGAAGCCCGCGAAGATGACCTGATCGAGCTTGTCGACCTGATCCTTGATCGCCTGCACGATGCGAGGGTGACGGTGGCCGTGGGTCACCACCCACCAGGACGATATCGCGTCGAAGATGCGGCGGCCGTCGGCGGCCTCCAGCCATGCCCCCTCGCCTCGCGCGATCAGCGTTGGATCAGGCTGAACGGCATGCTGCGTGAACGGATGCCACACCGGTGATCTGGATGTCATCAGGTCACGTCCTTCAGAAAGTCGCCGGCGTTGAAGTGCTGCGCGAATGCCGCACGCAGGGTCTCACGCGTAAGCGAAGCGAGATGTGGCAGCCTGCCAAGACGTTTCACTTGCCCCATGCTGGCGATCACTGTTTCCGACTCCCGATTTTCATCGCCAATGAATGCGATGCCGAGCAGCGGAATGTCGCGTGCGCGCAAGGCTTCGATCGACAACAAGCTGTGATTGATGGTCCCGAGCGTCGTGCGTGCGCACAGCACGACCGGCGCGCGCCACCGCGCCATGACATCTATGTATGTCAGGTTCTCAGTCAGCGGCACCATCAAACCGCCCGCCCCTTCGATCACCAGCGGCCGGTCGACTTCCGGCAAGGCAAGCGCGCCCGGATCGATGGTGACGCCATCAAGTCTCGCAGCAAGATGCGGCGAGGCCGGCGTCTTCAGCCGATAGGCCTCGCGCAGCACGCGCTCAGCAGAAAGGCCCGACAGCCGCTGGACAGCATCGCGATCGGTTTCCTCCTCGATGCCAGCCTGAACCGGCTTCCAGTAAAAAGCATCGAGAGCACCGGCGAGGGCCGCGGAAAACACCGTCTTTCCAATTCCGGTATCGGTGCCGGTGACGACAATACGGGTGCTCATGCCGCTTTCCGCATATCTTCGGCCAGAGCCTCGAATAGCGACGCAACCGCGGCTTCATCGACATTCAGCGTCAGCGCGATCCGCAGCCGTGCCGTCCCCTCCGGAACAGTCGGCGGGCGAATGGCGCGAATATCGAAGCCGCGTTGTTGCAGAGACGCCGCAACGGCGACTGCAGCACGATCCGCACCGATGATCACAGGAAGAATTTGCGAACCAGATGGCGTGACATTGCAACGGCGGAAGAGTTCGTCGCCCGCAAACCGGACCAGCCGCGCAAGCCGCTCGCGGCGCTCCGGGTTGGTTCGGGAAACATGAATTGCGGCACGCGTGATCGCGGCCACCAGCGGCGACGGAGCAGTCGCGAAAATGAAAGGACGCGCGCGGTTGACAAGAAAATCGCGAATCGTGCGCGGCGCGAGGATGAAGCCGCCGACGGTGCCGAGCGCCTTTCCGCAGGTGTGCAGGGTGATAACGTTGTCGCGACCCTCAAATGCCGCGGCAAGTCCCCGTCCCTGCGGACCGAGCACGCCGGTGGCATGTGCTTCATCGACGACAAGCATCCCGTCATGACGATCGGCGACAGCCAGAAGTCCGGCGATGTCCGGGCTGTCGCCATCCATGCTGTAGAGGCTTTCGGCCGAGATCCATGGCCGGCCCTTGCCGCCGGCCGCGCGCCAGCGGACGATTGCAGCATCGAATGCATCGACATTGTTGTGCGGAATACTCACGGCCTGGGCGCGTCCGCGCCGCATCCCTTCATGTACGCTTGCGTGGATCAGTTCGTCATGGACGACAAGATCGCCCTGCTGCGGCAGCGTCGAAAAGATCGTGAAGTTCGCGACATAACCGCCGCCGAAATAGAGCGCTGTCTCCGCGCCGAAATAGAAAGCGGCCTCGTTTTCGAGCGCTTCATGCTCGTCGTGATTTCCGCGCAGCAGCCGCGAGCCGCCGGAGCCGACCGGAACGCCCCGCGCAATCGCCTCGGCTGCGGCGCGCTTCAGTTCATCTGACTCTGCGAGCCCCAGATAATCGTTCGATGTGAAATCAATTCCCGCTCGGCTGCGAAGTGACCTCAGCCGGCCCTTGCCTGCGAGGTCGCGCAAATCGGCTTCGAACTTCTCATGCATGCATCAAATCCCGTCTGCAACGATGGAGGTTGGATGCGGGCACATGCCGCAAGTTTACAGCTTTTGATTCTTTTCATTGACGAGAACCACGCGCGGCTGATGCTGCCGTGCCTCGGCTTCATCGAAATTTGCATAAGCGACGATGATCACCTTGTCGCCCATCATCGCCAGCCGCGCGGCGGCGCCATTCAAGCCGATAATGCCCGAGCCCGCTGGCGCTTCGATCACATAGGTCGAGAAACGCGCGCCGGTGTCGATATTATAGATGTCGACCCGTTCATTGACCAGAAAACCGGCGGCGTCGATCAGGGTGCGATCGATCGAAATCGAGCCCTCATAGTGCAAATCCGCTTCGGTCACCCGCGCGCGGTGGATCTTGCCCTTCATCATGGTGACTTGCATCGGCCTGCCCTGGTTCCGGCGCGGACGCCTCGCGCGCAAGTCCGTTAGGACGGGCGCTGGCCGGGGTCAAGACTTTAGGGGCAGATGGCTGTCAGGCAAAAGCCATGCGCCGGCGGGCGCGCAACAGCAGTGTCACGACAATGGCGATGTTCAATGCATTCCAGCCAACGCCATTCAGGAACGCGGCGGCGTAGGATCCGGTCGCGTCGAAAATCACGCCGGAAAT